AGAAAGAAAGAAAGAAAGAAAGAAAGAAAGAAAGAAAGAAAGAAAGAAAGAAAGAAAGAAAGAAAGAAGAGAAAGAAAATAGTTTTGCAAGTTCATCACTGCCTTTGAGAAGTAGCACCTCCTTGCTTCTTGGTTCAAGCTCCTGAAAACAGGGAATCACTAAAAATTTCTCTCTGTTGGATCTGATCAGTCAGACTAGTACTGCTTGGAATAGATTGTCCTGCAGATATTCAGGTTTATGACTTACAAAGACATACATTGGTTTAAACCAGCACCTTAAATTATACTCAGAAACAAATCCACAAACAAGGTTGGCATGAAGCCCAAGTTACATGCTCCCATATGATCCATAAACAATGCACGCTACCCATTTTGGATGAGCTATAGTTTCCTAGTTGTTTTTAAGGGGCGCCCATATATAGTAGAATAGTAATCCAACCAGTTAATGAAGGCATACATTATTGTAGTTAAGTCCTCCAGCCCAAATACGGTTACAACTCCTGCACCAGCTTCATTATGTCTTCCGTCTGCTGATCCAGCAGGAAATGTCCCCACCAAGTCATAAATGATGGACAGGACTTACCTGTCAAGAAGCAACTCTGGTGGCAAAAGAGAATCCTGATGTATTGATGTCTAAGATCCCATTGGTTTATGGAATGTTTACTTTGTTCTTCAGAATTTGATTATTAATCATACCTGTCGCATTCACAGCAAACTTGAATGAAAAATCCATTAGTTATCTGATTACATCTAATTTCATTGTCACATTAATGAATATGTGTATATATCATGTAGTGTTTCAGTCTTTTACCTTAAAACTATTCAAAGGATTGTTGATGATGCTTAAAATCCAGTTGTAAAGATCAGGAAGAAATTGCAGGCATTCTGTAGTGGCTGAATCAAAGAACTGTTGAAAAAATCAGAAATCTAGCTCTTGATGAAACATCTGGCAATGCTATTGCATCTAGAGATTTTATTGGAAGGAAAACAACCTATCTCATTTTACACATAATTTGCATTATGATTTCTGTTGAAATAGGTTCTTCGGGTTTTTTTATAACAAGTAATCTAAACAGCAGATTTTCACATCTCTTTTAGTATAACAATTATCGCTGGTTTGTTGGCAGTAATAGCTAATCATTTAAAGATATTTAAATAAAGAGAATGCAATTTATATATTATTAAAACGCTTGTTATCATGACCTTTAACTGGGTGACACTGTGCCACAAAGTGTAACATTTTTTTGAACCAAGGTATTTCAAATGGGCTAACGTATCAATTGTGTCCACAATTCAGAACCCATGACTCCCAAGGGAATGAAATTTGGGGAGGTTGTGGCTGCTTCAGCCTACTATCTGCTGCTGCAGTCACATGATCTTCATTTTCAGTGTTCCGTTTCCCAGCCAGTTTTGCAATCTTTCATCACTTACCTACCTGCTAGAAAGGGAAAAGTAGTGGGAAGGACACAGGAAGAAAGAGAGATTTGCTATGCTTCCTGCCAAATTCCTACAAGGAAACTCAATGGGGAAGCCAGTAGAAAGTCAGAAGTCACTCTTGCTCCCATAGTTCCTTCTCTCCCCCCCCCCCCCCCGCTCCCCAGTCATTCTGTTTCTATATTTAGATAAGGAAATTTCTCTGAAACAATGACCCAACAGGACATGAGTTACCTAGTGTAAAATAAACATGATGACATAAAGTAATCATTGTCCTCCATAGTCCTTTTATGAGCTTCAACTTTCCCAAAATGAAATGACTTTAAGGGCCATCCAGAATGCAAGAAGATTTGGAGCCAATACCTGTCTGGGGACTGTGTTCCCTAATGTTCAAGTCACTGCTGAGGAGGTCTGACTTCTGATTCCCACTGCTCTTATCTGAAAAGGAGAAGAGGTATTTTTGAAGGGCTGCTCTTGATATTTGACTAGGAAAACCATGCTTGGCAAAGTGGTTCAAGCATCGGGTCAAATATAGCTTTATAGCCAGCATTTTGAGGCCTGGAAACTCAACAGGTAGACAGTGTAGTAGCATCTTCAAAATAGGCTTTATTCTACAATCTGGCCACTCAGTTTTGCACCAGCTATAATTTCTGACCGATCTTCAAAGTATACCCATGCAGAGCACATTGCAGTAGTCAAAACAAGAATGATAAGGATGATAGTCACTTTTCTATGGCTTAGTGGTCCAGGTAGGCTGTAATGGATGTACCAGCTGAATTCTTATACTTGATCCTCTGAACAGCAGGTTGAACTGAATCTAAAATACTCCTTGGGTACAATATTTTGGTAAAGCAAAAGCCCCATATTCTTAAGCAAACATCTCAATTTATTCCTTTAAAATATTCTTGAAAATCAATATATGATTTTACTATGGATTAATTCCATGGAAATTGCAGAGGTTTATTTTTATAAAAACTGGGTCATGTTCCAAAGGACTGCATGCAACTTGACATATAAAGTTTCTCCTGTACACTTTTTAACAACTGCTCTCCATATTTGTAAAGACAGCCCAAGATAGTATTTTGCCTCTGAAATAGTTAATATTTTTTGCATATGTAACTCTTTCAATCCAGCTGCTATAAGCATGTGTTGGGAAAAAAGTTCAATCTGTAAATTTCACTTCAAAAGAGTTTATTTATATGGTATACTTAATTTAGTGCAGCTTTTTTACTTAGAAACATTTTCAGAACAACACAGCAGATAACATTTTTAAAAAGAATAAAATAAATACTGTCGATATAGCTTTAAATTAACTTATAAGATTCTACTTAAACCAATAAATTATTTTATTGAAATATTTGAAGAAGCAGAAAATTGAGTTCTTTAAACTGGGCTCCCCTAATGTTACTAAAACATGTTACTAAAAACACTATTGTAATAGTATTTAATTATGTTAGTTAAATTAATCAACTTTATTAATAATTTAATTTATTTCATTATAAATGCAACAGAAAATAGACACAAAAAATAAATAAAATCAATAAATTAAGTATATGTAAGATGAAAACTACAGTTCTTAAACAGCAAATTAAACCTTTATCATACAAGAGTAATACTGATTGAACCTTCCATACAACCAATCCATATGTAGAGAGTGAACACATATGCTCTGAAACAAAATTCAGTCCAAGTTCTTAAATCAAGTGTAGCAGAGTCTTTCCTTCACAGTACAACAATCTTTTTAACAATAAATCACACAGTAATAAATCCAAAATTTTTCAGTACATAATGCAACAATGCATCACATCTTTAAACCATATTCCTTTTTCTGGCACTATATTAACCACCTGAAGAATATTCAACCAAAATGGTACAACTATAGGACAAGCTCTAAATATATATGTCATTATAAGCCAAAATATTAGAATCACAACGTCCCATGGTTGAGACCCAAACTGTGTTAAACATCTGCATCCTCTTGAGTGTCAGGAAACAGAATATAATACTTCACTAAATTAATCCCTATTAAGACTAGACAGTACACATTTAACTTTCTTCAAATACTAACCAATTAATTTATTAAAACAGAATGTTCCAGCTCTTAACTGGTATCCCATATCTGTCCTAGCACAAACCAGAAACTATGACACAATTGAGCACAGGCTACATATGGGCTTGGGAGTAGAGAGAGCAGGTAAATCTAAATGTGTGGCTATCAACAAAAGTTATGTCTTTTACAATGTCTCATGTCGTTTTTTCCTTTGAATTAAAAAGTTCCCAAAATGTACAGTAATACTTAAACCCAGTATTTTTCAAAGTTGGCAATTTTAAAATGTCTGGACTTCAACTCCCAGAATTCCATAGAAGTTCACAATTAACAATTCTGTATGGGAGTTAGCCTGTACATGTTGAGGGTTAAATGGGATGTGTGAACTGTAGATGTGTACCTCCAATAGTCCTAGAGATACATGCAAGATATTCTTGCCCCCTCCCCCAGAAATACATTAAAGCTTGGGGACAGAATGGACCAACTTGCCATGGTCATCTCGCCACAGCCAAAGTACTGCAGGACAACTCACTGCAGCCAACTCACCGTGGGACAATCCATGTGGGTTCGATGGGCTCAATGCAATAAAAGTTATTCACCATTGTTTCTCCTATATTATTTTCATTGACAAAAATGGAAGTAATGTAGAAGAAACAGAGATAGATAAGATTTATTGTATTGAGTTATCCCGTGTGAATTGTCCCGCAGCAAGATGGCTGTACCGGGTTGGCCATGGCAAGTTATCCACAGCAAAATGGCCATGACGAGTTAGCTGAGGCAAGTTGCCCTAGACCCACTAGCAGAATGCAGTTGTGCAATTCAGGTGGTGGTTCTCCTGTGCTCCTAGCATTGTCTGTCATACCTTACTTTGGAGTTTTCTGGAAATATTTGAATCTGCCAGTCCTACATTGAAGAATCTAATTAACCTTCTGAGTTAGCACATCTTTAAGCCACTATACCAGATTTCTGCTACAAACTAGGCAGCCTTCAGCAACATTTTCTTGTCCATCTGGACTTCACAGACACTGTATATGAAAGCTGGCTGAGTGACTTTGGGCTCATCACTCTCTCTTGTGGCTGTGAGGAAAATAGGAAGCAGGAATGTTAGTATGTTTGCCAGAGAGAGAGAAAGGGGGGAGGAGAGGATGGTATTATAATTATAATAATTATAATTATATTTCTTTCTAGGTAATAACCTTGATGCTGTTCATGACATAACAGTGGCATATCCTCAAAACATTCCACAAACTGAGAAACATCTTCTGTGTGGAAATTTTCCCAAGGAAATTCACTTTCACGTCTGCAGATACTCTGTAGAATCCCTGCCAACCTCTCGGGAAGACTTGCAACTCTGGTGTCAGAAGCGTTGGGAAGAAAAAGAAAAACGGCTGCGCCAGTTCTATGAAGGCAAAAAATATTTTGATGTGTCAGGGAGAAGCAAAATCCCACCCTGTAAATCTGAGCTCAGGGTCTTGGTTGTTAAGTGCATTTCCCTCTTGTACTGGACATTTTTCACATTCTCTGCGATTGCACTGTTATACATGTACAGCTTTGTAAGATGGTATTTTGTGATTGTAGTTGTCATTTTCACTGTGCAAGAAAGGCTGTTTGGTGGACTTGAATTGATAGAACTTGCATGTCATCAATTTTTTAATAGACGCAGGTTATCCAACGTAAACAGATGTTAAATTTATCTGGTGTATGTACTGATTGGATGGGTGATGTTTGTGAGCACTTTTCAGATGTGCCATAAACTTTTCATAGTGGAAGGAGATTTTTGCATGGAAATTAATATTTCTTAATGCTGTTTTGGTTAATGCACCATAGTCTTCTTGTAAAGGACAAAAGTTCATATTGAATTTTTAATTTTTGAATGTATCAATGTTCCTCTTGCAGCTAGCCTCTGCAGCATCGCTGGAAAAGCATTTGCTGATCGATCAAAGTTTATATCCATTGAATTGTTTAAATACATAGCTCTAAATTGCTGGGCAAATTAGGGAACTAAAAGTCATGGACTGTGATTCTTACAGTGCCTTGCTATAAATAATGTGTGAGATTTGAAAGTCCCAGTTTATTACACGATTAATAGTTGACTAACTTCAGTTCTCTACCTTTATACCTTACACAGAGTTAAATGACTGATGCAGTTATTGTCATCCAAATCAACAAGTGTTTTGATCTACTGAAAGAGAAAACTAATCCTGGGACTTAAAGTTGGATGAATGAAGATAAGTCTGTTTAAAAAAAACTTGTGCTATTTTGAAAAGAAAAATCCAAAAGTCAGTAAGGCTTACCTCTAAGTAAAGGTGCTGTTAAAGGTAACTGAGCTGGACCCCACCATCCTTTTGCAAGTCCTAAATCATCTTCAGGATTCAATTCCTGTGAATTGTTTGTCATATGGTGAAATCAGAGTCCATCTCCACTTCAGGTTTAAGCTGCCCTCCAAACCTAACCGCTAAATGCTCAGGCAAAACAATGTAAAACTGGGCGAGGTATTTAAATTAAGTTTCCCATGATATGAAAATAGAAATAATGTTTAAAATTGCCCCATTGGATTATTACTATAAGAAACATTAAGGTTTTTCTATTAACATTTGTCTCCTTTCCCAAAATCTGAATTAGGAGAATACTTTATCATGGAAACTGAAGAACATTTGTGAAATCAGTCCATGTTTGACGATAAGCAGCGCCCCTTCCCGCCCCTCCCCAGGCTTCTACTCCATGTAATGAATTAGATTCCCCCCCCCCCCCCAAAAAAATTTCCTAATTGGACCCTTTTTTTCTTGTTAAGGCTAAACTTCTTCCCTCCTGCTATTTTTTAATGGAATTAGGGTAAAAACTTGAACTGGCTGAGTTCATCTTTTACACTTAACACAATAGGCCAAGACATTTCTCTGAATGTTAATAATACCAGAGCTACGTGTTCAACATATTAAATGTCATGGTTACTTCCACATCTTTTTCAATCCCGGTCGCCCCTACGGTAAGTTTTCACAGAACCATTTTATAAATAAATTGTATTAAGAGCTGCTGATATATGAAATGTCTGTAAACTGGTCTTAGATTACCAATGTTATCAAAATGTCAATGTTTTAGTCATAAAAAAATATTTACTCCAGAGCAACAATAAAGAATTTAAAATGCAAATTGGTACAGTTTTATTGCATTCGTTGACAATTTGATTTATATGACCTTACAACTTAACCTGGTTAGCTAGCAAAACACATTGTAATATATACAATATAAAAGTTATAAGGCAATACAGTCTTTAAAACTGAACTCCAACCAAGATTCCTCACAAAACTATGTCTTGACTCAGAATAGGACACACATACTAAAGTGCACTAATATCCTGACTCCCCTGTCTGAGAAGGAAGCGTAGTCTCCAAAGCTTTCCAGAAAACTGACAGGGCTGTCCAAATTTAATGGAGGAGGCTGCCACAGAATTCACTGTTCTTAGATCCACTAGGCGAGTTGATTTCACAGAAGGTATCTCAAGGGTGCCTGCTCTGCCACATATGGTTGGTCTGAGTGAAATAATTGGATACTCGTAGTTCTAAAGTATCCTGGCTCTATGCTATGCTGGACCTCAGGTGACAACTAGCATTTTTAATTGCACCCAGAGCTACAGTGTTACATGTGCACTCAAAACTGAATATGTGCCATGACATTTGGAATCAGTTGTACTTTCAAAATGCTTTTCAAGAATGGTGCTGTGTAGTCTAGTCTAGCCAGGAAGTGTCTAAGGCATATGTCTCCAGGAATTAGGTGCAACTGTTGCACAAGATGGATTTGTGCAAATCCTGGCCATGGTTACCATCTGATCTCAATCAGTAGGCACAAGTTCAGATGGACTGCCATCTTGTACATCAACTCTGTGGGAGTATTGCCTTATCCAAAGTTGTTAATGGTAAACCTCCAAACCTAAAGCCCACAGCCACATGGTCTAGCTAGGGTTGTATCAAAAATCTATGTTTTCCCACCCCAGATCCTCACAGTCTCAAGAGACTGGGAAGAATCTTGGCATAATTTGAGGCAGAAATAATATAAATATCATCATGGAGGACATGGATCTAAAACACAGGTGACAAGACAGCTTGCCCTTGGAAGTTGTGGGAGCGCCATCACTTGAGACTTTCAAGAAGAGATTGGACTGCCATTTGTCAGAAATTGTGTAGGGTCTCTCACTTGGGTGGGGGGTTGGACTAGATGACCTACAAGGTCCTTTCCAATTCTGATTATCTGTTATCCTAAGATCCTGTCCTGTTCCTCAGGACTAACAGGCTGTAACTCTCTCTGGATAACTCAGCAAGAAGTGCCTCAGTCAATTCCATAAGACCTTCATTGAGCCTAAGTGGCGCAGTGGTTAGAGTGCTGTACTGCAGGCCACTTCTGCTGACTATCAGCTGTCTGTAATTTGGCAGTTCAAATCCCACCAGGCTCAAGGTTGAGTCAACCTTCCATCCTTCCGAGGTGGATAAAATGAAGACCCAGATTGTTGGAGGCAATATGCTGACTCTGTAAAACCGCTTAGAGAGGGCTGTAAAGCACTATTAAAGTGGTATATAAGTCTAAGTGCTGTTGCTATTGCTATAGCCAGACTCTGAAACAAATTCAACTCACATCTGACAGATGACTAAAGTAGCCTGGAATGCAGCATTGATCCCAAGGACCAAGACTGCCTTCCCTGAGAACAATCCACCCCTGGTCTTCCACCAATCACCCTATGCCAGGTGTGTCAAACTCACATCGCCACAGTGGTGTCACATGACATATCAGGACTTTTTTCCCCTTGGCTAAACCAGGTGTGAGCATGGCCAGCACATGACGCATCTGGGCCATGGGCCGGGAGTTTCACAGCTCTGCCCTATGCCCTCCATCACCATTGCCTACTCTCATCTCTTTATAACATCCATCACCCAATGATTCTTGCCCTCCCTTCCCCACATCAAAGGGAGCCATCATACATTAGATGGCACACTAAGATTGACATAAGATTAAAAGTAATTAGTGGTCATAAAATAAGTGTACTACTTCTATCTATCCTACAGTCTTTTGCTAACAATTTGGACTTGCTCTTAAGGTTCCCAACCTTAAAAGAGTAAGTATATTGTGATGTTATATAACTGCAAGATATACAAACTGAGATTATCTCATTCCAATTTATTAAACAAAACATTTATTAAATCATTTAACAAGTAACTGGATTTACACATCGTGTCAGCAAATTATAATTGACACCCAGCGGGGCAACTTCAATTTCCTGGAATTTCCTGTTACTGAATCTATGAGGCCATCCTGAAAATAGAAAAACCACTTCTCCCATGAGCTGTTCAGAGCATCCAGAAGTGGGAGGTGCTTCAGTCTCTTCTGGAAAGGCTGGGCTTAAAATTCCGGGACGCTCCTCCTCCATGGGACACCTCCTCAGCGTCCCCCAGTTTTAGCTCAGCCTTTGTGGTAAGAGGTTGTGCATTCCCTGACTGGAATGGTTTTCTGATTCAGGTTTGCTCTTGGGTTTTTTCGGCTTTTAAAAATCTTCCCCATTTAATTTGGCTTTTTCAGGGTTGTCCCTCTATTAGGTTACCTTGATTAGTTAAAAAAAAAAAAAAAAAAGTAAATAGCGGAGCCTGCCACTCCGCAGGCAGCTTGAGGCTATTGCCTCAGGCAATTACCTTATCTAACTTTCCAATCGTCTTCTCTGCGATCGTAGCAGAGCGCTCGCAGCCGCTGCTCACTTTGCCTTCCCGTTTCGTCTGACAGGAGCATTTAACTCGCAAGTTAGAACCTCAGCAGCAGCGGCTCATTAGACAGCTCAGACATTAGCAACGGTGATTCTGCTTCCCACCCTTTTCAACGGCTGGCTCAAGTTCGCGCCTAATTATCACAGGCGCCATTCCTCGCTGGTTTCCCTTTCTGGGGACCGAGGCAGTACCTTCCCACTTTGTTCTCCCTGGGTTTAGCTCTCCCTTGTCTGGCTGACGTTGGATAAGCAGCCTAGTCATTAAACAGGCATTTCTTTGCAATTGCCTTTGAATCATTTCTTCAGAGTATAGCTGGTTTCCCTTGTTGGGGACCAGGGATCCAGAGTTTTTCTCGCTTGGAGCACTTCGGGGTTTCCCTTGTTGGGGACCCTTAGATACTGTTTACCATGTACACAGTTATACATATAGATATAGGCATATGTATATGTATATGGGCGTGTATGTATGTATGTATATATATATTTTCTTACCCTCCTGGAGGAGCGTTCTACTTTCAACCGCAGGGGAAGGCATCACCCCAAAGTACAAATATTAATAACAACAATAATAATAATAATTTTAAAAAAAAATTAAAAAAAGAAAATTTAAAATTAAAGTCAAAGGCAAGAGAATCAGCCATCCACCATGGAAGGTGACAACGCCTTAAAAAAAAAAAACTGCTCCAAGACAAATAAGTCCCGAGATAAGCCAGTGGGCCTCCAAAAGGCCTCTAAGGCAGCGGATAAGGATGCCCATAGCTTTGGAAAGACAATTGCAGAAATGAGCCAGGGAGGCAGACAAGATGGCTATGACACAACAATCTGATCAGGACCCAAGTCCATTGTTGGGGCCCTAGGACTTATCCACCCATCCTAGGCAGGCTGTTTCTGGATAACCTCCCATAGGCACATCTCCTCCAATGAGTACTGCCCAGCTAATCCCAGAGGCAACCTCCACCCCCACGGTCGCCGGCCTAAGACAAAAGGAGGGATTACCTGAGACTATCCCCATCGAAATGAAGCAATGGATGGAGATGGCGATTCAAAGGGGAATTGTGGCTGGAGTTCACCAATCCATCAGGACCAGACACTTCTTGGCCGCTTTGGATGCGGGATCCCTGTCCTCTCAATCCTTTGTGCATATGGAACAACATCAAACTCAGGTATTCCCCAATATTCCTAACATACCAGCCCAGGCCCTTCGGGAGGAGGTAGAATTTGAGGATCAGGATGTTCCCATGGAGGTGGGGTCAATCCATCAGATGGTCTTGGGGTTGTCAGAGGCTGACCCATTAGAACGGGGAATGTCGGACGACGAAGGCCTCATTCTGGACCAACCTACTTTTTCTGGCCTTTTTCATCCACACCTCTTTAAATCCTTACTGTTCAAGGCAAAGAACACCGCTAAACTAGGCACATCAAACCCTCACCCATTGTCAACAGGGTCCCAGGACGAATCCGAGGATCTAATATTCTCACAACCGGCTAATGAGGCGAAAACTATTCCTGTCCGTCGTATGTTTGCTGAATTAGTACAAAATCAATGGGCATCAGCAGCATCATACCCAGCCCCAACAGGGTACGATAAACGATATAATTTGGTACCAGAGTTTTCAAATTTTCTCAAAACGCCAGAGGTCAGTGGGGACGCCAAAACAGAAGAAACCCCAGAGGCACCGGAGGCCGATTTTTTCATCGCCCCAAGTGAGTCCTTGACAGCAGTTCCCATTGGAGGGCGGCTAAAATTGTTTGCTGATCAATGGGACAGCTCCACCTCTGGTGCGTGGGTCAAGGACACTATTAGGTTTGGTTTGGCGCTAGAGTTCCAATCTTCCCCCCCGAACTTTTTCATTAGGAGCCCTAGGTCCATGGACCCCATTAAGTTGATGCAGGAGGCTATCAATCATCTTCTACATATTCAGGCCATTAGAGAGGTCCCATCTGAACAGCGGGGACACGGCTGTTACTCTCTATTGTTTGTGGTCCCAAAGAGTTCAGGGGGCTGGA